TATACAGTCTTTGAAAAGTCGTGGTGATCAGGGGACGTCCCGGACAATTGGAGAAAAGCAGATGTTTGCAAAAAAGAACAAAAGGACAGGTTGGAGAATCACAGGTTCATTGGCCTCACTTTGTTCCCTGAGAAAAATCATGTAAAAAGTTCTCTGAGAAAACATTTCTGGGCACGTGAAGGATTAGGTGATGGCTGGTAACTGTAAGCATGGATTTATCAAGTGTAAGTTATGCCTGACCAGTCCGATTGCCTCCTATAATAAAATGACTGCCTTTGCTGACCAGGTGAGAATGGTGGATGCCATTTTCCTTGATTGTAGCAGGGCTTTCAAAACTGTCAGAAAATACATACAACATCTCAACATACAAGTTTGGATGTTACAGTCTGGATGGATGGATAACTAGATGAGTTAAAAACTGGTTGGATGATCAGGCTCAGAAGGTAGTAAACATGTTGTACTGTATCTGGAGGCCATGAACAAATGGAATACCGTAGGGGCCTACCCTAGAACCTCGGGGTTTGTTTTTTTTTTTTTTTAAACATCTTTGGCAGTGACTCAGTGATAAAAATACATGCTCATCAAGTTTGCAGATGACACCAAATTGGATGGAACCATCAATATGCTTGAGAGCAGAGCTGCCATGCAGAGATGCCTAAACAGATGGAAGGAATGGGCTGACAGGATCCATATGAAATTCAACAGGACATGCAAAGTCTTGGAAAGGGATAACCCCTTGCAATGATACAGGCTGGGGAGCAGCTTTATGTAAAAGAACCTGGGAGTCTCAGTGCACGTTCAGCAAGTTAACCATGAGCCAGGAGTGTGCCTTGGCAGCAAAGGCGGCCAACAGTATCTTTGGCTGCATCAACAGTAGCGTAGCCAGTAGTCTGAAGAATGTGATTATCCCTCTAATCAGCATTCGTTCGATTAAATTTAGAATACTGCATCCAGTTTTGGGCCCCCCAGTCCAGGAAAGACACTGATAAACTGGAGCAAGTTCAGCAGAGAGCTGCCAAGATGGTCAGGGAGACATGCCCTTTGAGAAGCAGCTAAGGGAACAGCTTGTTCAGTCTGGAGAAGAGAAGGCTTCAGGGAGATCTACTAACAGCTTTCCAATACCTACAAGAAGATAACAAAGAACATGGAGCCATGCTCCTCATGTTGGCAGTTAGTGGAAGGAAAAGAGACAACATGCATAAACTGACACAAGAGAGGTCCCAGCTCAATATAAGGAAAAAAATTCACCATGAGGACACTCAAGCAGTGGAACAGGTTACCAAGATGGAGACTGAAAACCTGCAAGGATGGTGACTGCACAAAGCTTGACTGGATAAAGCCCCGATTAACCTAGGCTGATCCCATAATTGACCTTGCTTTGAGCAGGATGTTGGACCAAAAACTTCCTGATGTTCCTTCCAACCTGAATTATTCTATGATCCTAAGTTTAAGGAGTCCTATAGACAATGTTTTGCACACGCTTGCACAACATTCCAGCAACTTCAGAGCACAAAATTCCAGGGCTGCATGAATGCTATCCAAATAACTCAATCATTCAGCACAAGACCAAATAGTGTCTCATATGCTTTCTCCCCCAAAATACTGTGTATCTCCAGACGCAATTACAGCCACACATAAGAAATAGCATTTTCCCTGTCAAGGGAAAGCTCAATGCACTAATCCACATGCATGATCAAGTCAAGCTGTATAACTTCTGCAAGTGATTGCAGAAGACTGCTCACAGACCTGAAATGAAGGCCCCCTCCAAAGCATCACACTCGCTCAAATGTGTTGAATGAAACAATACAGCTAACTTTAGATTTAAACAGCTACTAATGTGAGCTGTGCAATAGTGTCACCTAGTGGTCAGTGCTTACAGCAAAGTCAGGGCCCAATTCAAGAAGACCATTTACTGCCCATCTACAAATTTTGCTATTCTACAAAATCAGTGGGGACTTTTAAAGCATATATATGTACATATACACCCACATCTATAGGAACCAACAAGTGCAGTAACCAATAAGACAAATGACTTTCCATCATCAGTTTTAAGTCACACAACTTTTACAAAGTTGAAAAAAGTAATTCCAGAAATAGAATAAGTAAGTTCTTTCCAGATGCAAGGAGCATTATTGTCTGGCCTAAAAGAGAAGGATTTCCAGAATGATGGATTAGTACTGCAGTTTTTCATTTATACCAACAGAAAAGAGTTTCCAGATCCTCAGATGTATAACGATCATTGACTTCACTGACATACAACATTGATATGTTTCTTGTGAAGAAACAGGCACAAAAAGTAGAACAGCCAAGCTCTCTATTTACTGTATAAACATTGTCCAGGTCTTACACGTATAGAATCTGTAAATAGTTTTAGGGTTACAAGTTTTACAGCTTCCCCAAACTTTAAGGAATGTTCATGCTCCCGATTCTTGAAAGATTAGTGATTTCTTCTAATCTTAGACATCTGGAGAAGGAGGAGATGCAAACTTGAACCATTTCAAAATTCCAGAGATTTGTAAGGATGTTTGTTCTGCTCAAGAATACACCTTGAAACTACCAAAGTTCATTATATCTTTCCATTTCTCCTGCTATCAGGTCTGCTTACACTTTGTGCCATATCTGAATCAAATCATCATAGTTTCATTAAATTTTCACTCTGTTCAACAGCTTTCCCTTCCCTCATCTCATCTACTGTTCACTTTCCTAGCCAAATGACTTGGGGATGAGAAACACATTTTTGTTATTCTCCATAGGTTAGCAAATACTTGGTTGCACCATATCTCCTACTATGTTCAAAATGTAAGCATATCCCATCACTGTCCAACATCTTCAATTCAGTTTCTAGGTTTCCAAAGCAAAGGAACTTGACTCAGGCAGATGAAGGAAAGCCTCTTTTCAACATGTGTTCCCCAATGACCCAGCATTTATTTGGCTACTTCGTATTTTATGCAAGTTCAAGTTTCATAAGATCTCCACTGTAACAAGATGAAACTGAAATAACAGACTTCTAATCATTAAGTAAACAACCAAAAATACTGTATTTTTCTTGTGGCATAGCAAATACTGAGACCTGCTTTTTGCAGCTTAGCTAATCTCTACATCAGAGAAACAGCAATACTGCAGATAGGTTGTCCAGTTTGCTCTTAGATTTCTCAGCAGGCTTCTAAAGGCTAAGCAACCGAAACTTTTGCTGCATTGTTGCTTTTTTCCCCTCTGCTCTTTAGATTGCAGTAGTAACAGACCTAGAGAAATTTCTTGTGTAAAACTGCATCTTCTGGAATTCATAACTGTCACACCACAGGCAGGGCATACAGACAGTCCTCACTCATATGGCTTACCAAACACTTAAAAATATCTTTGTTCACCAGTGTTGTGACCCTTACAGTTTCTAAGCTGTATACTAGTCCTATAATATTGGAGAACTTCAGCATACTAATGAAGATTCTTTCAAAGACAGCCAACTGCTATATTTCTATAAGCACTGAGCTACTATAAAGATACATATATAAAAACAACAGTAGTATTTTTACATCGTGAGGTTAAAAAGCCCATGTAGAGTACAAGAGATACTAGAAAAACCACAGTACAGCTAGCTTCCATTCTTGGTCAGTGATACAACCAATGACACCTACATGTATACATGCAACTTAATGAACACGCCAGCATCTGATGTTAACAAGATTTATATCCCAGAATAAATGGGACAGCAGGTACAGCAGAGAAAGCAACAGAATAAATAGCTGAATGCTGAAAAGAATTTCCAAGCTCTAGAGAATGCTCCCGGTTAGAAACTGGTAATTCCCAGCAATTATCCCACCGATTTTTCTCACATACCTTAAACAGAAGTGTAATTAACAAGATGTAGCATTTTATGTTACACTGTATATACCTGAATAAGTAGTCTTTCCACCCTAAAAAGTAAGTTCATGCACCTAAATGCTTTTCGATTTCTCATTTTTATCAATGTACAGTGCCAGATATGATTTAAATAAAGGAGAAAGCATATATTAGATGTTGAGTCAAAAGTTTTCTTTAATCACCAGCACAGACAGCACATCTCTGGCATCCAAGATGTTGAAATGAAAGAACAAAGAAGGAGAATTAAAAAGTAAAACAGAAACTGCAAAACAACTTCAGAAATACTTCCCATTCCCACTTCCCGCTCCAATGCAATCTGAACAGTAATTTAAATAATGCTTATGACATTTTGTTTTCAACTGTGTGGATTAGACTCTATTCAAAGTAAAAAAAAATTCTTTAGTATCAAGAACAGAACTGTTACAGCTGAATTGCTTGAAGTTTTGTATAGAAAAACCACTGATTATAAATGAAAAAAATTACTAACTTCGGTAATGCTTAAGAAAATTGCTCTTCTCTCTGTACTAATGCCAGCACTTACCAACTCAAACTCCTATGTTACACTTACACTTCTCTACTTAGTCTCACATATATAAGTCTGCCCAGAAGACTAACTTCAGGTCTTCAAAAACATTCAAAATCAGTGACTTCACCAGAGCCTTCCTAAGCAAAGGATAAGAATTATTTCTTATGTAATTAAAAAGAAAAGAAAGGCTAAATAACCAATGTCATCATTTGTCAGCAGCAATAAAGACTTTGTATAAAAAGGTCTATACAATTAAATAACAAAAAGGAAGTAATTAACAAGAAAGAAGTAAAGCACATTAAGTTCATGTACTTACTAGACCCACAAGACTGAAATCTTTAGAAGTTCATTTACAACTAGGGAACTAACGAAATAGCCATACATACACTGATTTGATAAAAATTTAATACAAAGAATAACCTTAAAAATCTATATGCTTACCCCAAATGTTTTTCAGATATTTATATTTTCTTATAAAGTTTAAGTTGTAAACATTTACTCTGAATTATTTAATAATTATTAGATTTTCTTTCATTCCCCTCTGAGACACATGCACAACACAAAAAAAAAAAAAGAGGTGCTCAACACAACAAAAATATAACAGAAACTCTATTACCTTGGATTTAAGATTTCACCAACAATTTCTTGCAGCTTGTCAATAAAATTAACAAAGTTTGAAAGCTCCTTTACATGGACTCTTAAAGGATCAAATAATGAAGATGCACAGCCTCTTCCTCCAAGTTCTACAGTTCGGATAAAAGATGTTGCCATCTATTAGGAGAAATATTCAGAAATATGAAACTGTAGACACACATGAAATGTACACATGTTGAAGTGAGCCCCTGCTACAGATTTGCAAACAGTGTATAGCAGCTGGTTGATAGCAGGAGTAATTTAACCAAAATCAGTATAATACCTCTTAATGGCAAGCTTTGTACATCTCACCATAAATATTTGCAAGATCAATACTTAAATAGTGCAGCAGTATAAAAAAAGCCCACAAGCCAAAGTGAAAATGACCCAGCTAATTTGATATTTACATTGGCCTTTTGACAGCTTAGAAAAAACTTTATTAACACGGGGTATAGAATTTTTTTTGTTGCTGCTGTTGAAACGCTTGTGCTGACCTCACAAAAACTACTCTTATATTCAGAGGGCTGTCTATGACCCAAGAACAATTTTAACATAAGCACGTAAAAGTTGACTTCAGTAGCATATTTATTTTCAGAGGTCCAATTAAAAATAATGTATACTTAGAGCTTCTCAAAAATTATGACAGTTAAGGCTTCTATCGTCACATGTACCCAATTCTGAAAGTTTCCATATATTTTCATATGCTATAAAGACACTGAAAACAAGAGACGTCCCAGAAGCAGTATGACTTAGAGGACAACCCCTCAAATTAAGGTAACAGTTAGAGTAGAAAGCTTAGCAGTTCTCCAGAAAGGTGAAAGTAAAGATAACAATCCAATATGCTTGACACAGATGCAGTAATACTAATTCTACATATAAATTTTCATTTCAGACTATACAGCTAAATCAAAGCTCTTGGGACTGAAAAGAGTACAACTGGAATTACTCTAGCAAAGGAACTAAACCTGCCAGTATTCCTGCCTTTGTGCTAAAGATTTCCTGTGGATCAAGTACAGTTCATAGGACTTTGCCTTCCTAATGGAAAATATTCTGGCTTTGCAAGATTTCTACAGGACACAGATGCCAGAAAAGAAGACTCTCTACACGGTAGAGAAGTTTCCCCTCTGGCAACTGTGAGGAAGAGGCAATAAATCCAGTCTAAACACATACTTTTTTTGTACAATGTTAACAGAGCATTAGGAGCTAAAATAATTAATCCTGGAACTGAGATTTCACAAATTTTCCATATTTATTCAACCATAAAAATCTGAGAATGCAGCTGCTCCAGTGACTGTTACATACCCATACTGTTTTTCCTTGGTCTGCTGTTGTCTGCACTGAGGCCACTGTGCATGCAAAATTTGATTATTTTGAATATGAGAGACTACAGTGGTTGTTTGGAGAAAGAATTCCTACTCATCTTATTCCAACTATTTTTGAGATGGCTCTGTGCTGACTATAACTACTGTAAGCATAAATGCACCTCACATACCAAACTAGATTCTTTAGCAACAAGCCTCTGTGAGCACTGCACATTGGTGCTGTAGCTTTTTATATTCCTATACAAGGGCACCGAGGAAACAGTATACCACTATCTCAAGGATTTTTCCAGCTCTGTGCCTTTGAGAATAAAATGAGCCAGAATGTCCCATATCAATCACATCTTGAAGACTATTTCAAGACTGATCAAGCTGCAAATGACTGGAAAACATTACCCTCCCCAAATTCTGAGTCAAAATACCCTTTCAAATTTTGGCCTCTGTTCTAGTGGACATGTCAAAGGCAGGGTTTTGTCACCAGGTTGCTCTAAGAAAAACAATTTGTACACAGTTTGTACAGTTTGGATCAACTATCCTGGCTGTGCCCCCTCCCAGTTTCTTGTGCACCTAGCAGAGCAGGGGAAGCTGAAAAGTCCTTAGCAACAACTAAAACATCAGTGTGTTATCGGCATTCTTCTCCTATTAAATCCAAAACACAGCACTATGCCAGCTACTAGGAAGAAAATTAACTCTATCCCACCTGAAACCAGGACAATCTCTTTCATTGCCTCTGACCTACAGCAAGTTTCATTTGACACACATACCAGGAAAATGGACATTTTTCTCTCCTGCGAGGCATGTTTGAGGTTAGTGAAGGCTTCTCTACCAAGTCCTCTGTCAGGAACATTTAGAATATGAGCCAATGCTAGATCATCCTTAGAATTCACCAACAGGCTTAAATATGAACAAACACACTTCTTTGCCAGGATTGTCACCTGTATAAGAAAGCATCACACAAATTGGTCACCCCACTGCTAATTTATGGGGTTTTTAAAGATAATTAGATATGTACTGATATGATTTTTGGAAGAGTAAGGATTTCACCTTGTGTAATTTCAAAATGCTACTTATGTATCGGGATTCTGGAAGTATTGACAAAAGCAAGCATGATTAATATGTTAAAATTACGTATACTACACTTGAATATTCACAAAATATTTGAAGGTTGGATCTCCAGCTGTTAAAATTGGCTACCAATTTCTACTTAGAAACCTCTTCACAGATACTCCTTTTCTATCCCAAGGCAAAATACTAGCACTATTAAACCACATAAGGATTTGTCATTAACTTCAAATAGGCTAAGATTTTAAACAACTTGCCAGCTCTGTGCCAGATTCAGTAATTTTTTCCCTTGGCTCCCAGGGGATTTCAATCACAGAAACTCCACCGATTGAGTATGGACATAAATTGTGACTCAGCTCCACCCACATAACCAAAACATAACATTGTAATTCCTTATATTGCAGCACCATTCTGTACCCTTAAGAACAACAGTCCCAGAACTGAAGAATTTGCAGTTTTGTTGCAAGCAAAGAAAACAAAGGCCAAAAAAAGCCATTAACAAAAGGAAAGATAATGAGAAAACCTATTATTTGCTATGGAATTTCTTCTTATTCAACAGGATGCACACAACAAAAACATAGACAGTAAAAGAACCCAAACATGTATGTGTGACCATGAAAAGACAGATTTAAAAGAAGGAAAAAAGAGCAAGGAATATTTTTACTACACAAGTCAGAGCAGCAAGAAAGCCATTATGTTAGTGGGAGAAGTGCTATCTAGGGGAGAACCTTAGTTCAGAAAATATTTTCTTGTTCAGAAATATTTTGAGTTGTACCTAAATCTTGATTTGAAATTGCCACTTATCACGAGAAAAGTTCCAGCATTTTGAGCATTGTTATATAGTATTCCAAGATTCTTGTTTTGGGGAGTTGAAAGGGTAAAAGGAAAGAATCCTGTATTCCCAGAAAGTCCTCAAGTCCTCTACTGGGACAGACAAACCTTGTTTGCTTTGCTACAGTTACCACTACAGTGGCTATTCAGATTTCTTCCGTATGTAAGGGAGTACGAGCTAATAAAGTGAAATTGAAGCAGCTTACTTCATCTACCACTTCACTTTGCAGCATTGGCAAATCATTTAACTCTTAGTCAAGACAATGTTTGAGTGATGGTGTACTTCCAGAAAGATTTATTCCCTGGTGTTTCAAGGAAGATTAAGTCTACATCAAGTGCCTGCCATAAAAGCACTGTCTTCCAGAATATAAATTTCTGGACTTAGCCCCGTACACACACCTACAATATACTCAAGTGATAGAGTTTGAATACACACATTCTGTTTTTTTAAACCAGCAACATTTTAATACCAATAACTGGAAAAGGAAACTATGTTATATTTAATCTTTTCAATATACACAGAACACTACAAGAGAGACAGAAATACTTTTTACCTTCACATTCTCCTGGCCCTGACTTTTGACTGGTGTAGAAGGAGTAGGAAGAACAGAACCATTATTTTCTTGTCCATTCATTATGCCAGAAATAAACTCCAACAGTTGAACCTTTAATAAAAAGATTAGAATAAACCTAAATATGAAGACGACTAGAAAGCAAAAGTAGTATTAAAACCTGGTGAAACTATGTCTCCACCAGTTTGCTAGTGTTTTAAGGTTAATACAGCCCTTAGGACCTACTTCTGGTTTCAGTCTTTAAAAGCATAACTCTTTTAGTAGACAAATGACATGTAAGATTCAAATGAACTTAGAAAAGATATCTCAAACAGTTCTGTAATACACTTGCACTAAAAGCAGCTGCTTATGTTTTGGAGAATATTTAATACATTGTATCATGTTTAGGAAGAGCTCATTAACCCACCCAAGTTCTCTGTCTTCCCCATGAAAACAGGAAGAAAAAAAAAATTTAGAAAAAAAAGTCACAGTTCCCATGTCCTTCCTGAACTTCAGTTCTCCTTATAATCTCTTTTGTGCCTACTAATCACATGAATGTTTGAGTGTAGGTTCTCTGAACCTTTAAGGAAGTAGGCAAGCTGGTTACAAGTACACTTGTCATAGAATCATACAATAATTTAGGTTAAAAGGGACCTATAGAGATCATCTAGTACAAACCCCTGCTTGAAGCAGGACCAGTTTGACCAGGTTGCTCAGTCACATGCTGAGCCAAATTTTTAATATCTCCAAAGAGGAGATTCCACATCCTCTCTGGGCAACCTGTTCCAATATTTGACCACTTTTTCGTGGAGAAAGCTTTTCATTCTTACTAGGGCTGAAAGGTAAACAGTTTTAATCATGCTGTAATTAGTAATTCATGGTATGTTCATCATATACCTCAGTTCAGTTAACATTCAGTTACTGATATAGTATCCCTCATATTAAAATGACAATCTAATTAAACATACACCAAATTCAGAAGATGAAATGAACAGTAATTTGTTTAAGTCTGCAATGCTGAGAGTGGGCAGTAAAAGCAGACAATTATCTCCTCTCCAATTTTCATTACAAGCTAGAAGTATGTGCATCTAAATCCAACATTCATTAATTTTTTCAGTATCAATATCCTTTGTCTTTTGACCTTTCCATGCTCTAGAGACCACAGAATGAAATAAAATCATGTGGAATGCTTGTGTTTCAAACTTATCTTAATTGCTACCTACATATGTTTTTATCCAATAACACAGAGATTAATCAAATTCATTTTTCATTACTTTCATAGTCTAAGAGTGGAATACACAGTAGAACTTCTCTAGCCTAGAGCACGGCCTCACATGCAGCATCATAAGAACGTCTGAGCTGCAATAAATTGCAAGAGAGCTGCTGACTGAGTGGCTGATGTGGAGCCTCTTCTGGTTTCTGGAAAAATCTAACATGGAACTATGTGTAGTATAGGGAAAGTTTTGCTTTTAAGAGCATGGTATTTTTAAAATGATAACCATTAAAAATATTCTAACTGCATATCAACATACAACCAAAGTTCCGTGGCATGGGTTAATCACTAAGCTTTGTTACACTCTTATCAAATCTCTACAGTTCATTTTTCAGTTCCATTTCTGACAAAGAGTGTTATAGAAGAGCTATGGGACCCACCCATCCAGCAGGGCAACAAAAAGAAATAATTTTTGAGTGAATTTAAGATCTCTTTAAAAGGTTCAGTAATTTAAACACTTCTGCTTCCCCAATAGAAGAGCAAAGTAACTTGTGAATAATTTAGAGCTCCTGTGTATATTTGGAAGTGTCATAAATTTGTAACTGGAATCAAAAATATGTAAAAACAATATCAGAGATCAAACAAACAAAATACTTACAGGGTCTATGCTTTTATCTTCAGATACAAGTCCAAGACCACAGCACTTCTGACATACGTCTATTAAATCTAACATATTGCTTCTTGCTAAGAAGGCATGATAGGCTTTTTTTAAGTCAGCATAATTTTCAGGTTCTTTCATGTTTTCGTATGATAAACCCAGTTTGTCATGTAACAAATATTTCCAAGTTTCCAACACATCACTAAGTGATACTGTGAAATCTCCGTGGTGCTAATAGAACAGAAAAAAGCAAAAATATTATGTTTTGTATTCAATATAACTTTAAAAATAACTCTAAAATGAGCTGCATATACATTTTTTTAAAAAACTATTATAATCTAAATATTTATTATAAACAAAGTCTTACTTATAGTTGAAGTTCTTCCAATGCTTTGCCTTTACAGTTGAGGTTTTTTACATATAGTATTTGTTCCTGATCTTTAAAATACCAGGTGTATATATATTGAACTTTACTCATAAGAGAAGACATACTGGCTTTCGCAGGACTACTGCTTATATAAAGTTATTTGTTTACAGAAATAGTTTTCAGCATGGCAGGCATTTAGATCCCAAAGGCAGTAAATATAGCTCTATTACCTTGCTTCAAGCAGTGGCCTGGGAAAACAGAAAGTTTTTTTTCCTGTGTTAGTATAGTTATACTTTAGCATAACATTGATAGTGTTGCTACATAAATCTAACAAATACATTCAAACAATGCACACCTATCTGTTACTAGTACCATAACTAACATTAACTATACAGTACAGGCTACAATCTTACACCCACTCTCTCGGTCAAAATTATTAGATTACATTCCATATGCCCCTCTGCCTCCTCACCAACCTCCTAAAAGGAAAAAAAGAATTACAGCTTATCAGAAAATTAGCAGAATTTATAGAGATTAACAGAGAACTAATTTAAAAGAGCAGATAAATTGGGTAAATGACAACAAATACGTGGGCAGCAAAATAACTAACAGCATTTTATTAGCAACTGAAGAACCTTTTCCTATTCTAGGCAAAAAAGAAAATTCAAATTTATCACAAAGTAACTTAAGAGGCTTGTATCACAGTTAGAAGACCCTTTCTTTCCAACTCTTTGCAAGAGTGCTCTGTTTGACCTTTGGTGGACAGAAGCAGAAAATGTATCGACAGGAATGACTAAAATCACGTTTAATTTACATATTAGTTTATAATATTTTTTTCAAAGGATTTACAAAGTGAGGACATCTGCTATTACTACATTTATATGTAGGGGTGTATTAAGTAATCATGCCTAAGCACTTCTTAGAAGAGTGAACACTTAATTGTAAAGCAATAAGCTTGCAATTGCAATAAGCTAAAATAAAAGGAAAAAAGGGAATAAACTTTTTAAGAAAAGTTCTCCACATGTGAGAGCAGAAGATACTAAGAATGAGACAGACTGTATGTAGTCCATAATGCTACATGTAATCTCATTTATGAAGCAAAAGTAACTAAAGAACCAAAGCTGTTCGCAAACCTGGCCTGTTTGGAGGTTACAAGTATGGGAGCAGGGCACAAATGGCAAACACAAGGTGGAAGTGTCACAGCAGATAGGAACAGATAGTGGAGCTGGAATTCACAGAAATTTAAAAAACAAGTCAAGGAAGTGACAAAGCCCTGTTATGTGAGTCAGAGTGATGTGTTACCGAAGGAAGTCGGATACAATCCAGCTACCACCCAGTTGTACCAGTAAGAAACTGTAAGAGAGATCAGGTATTGCTGCACTCTAAGAAATAAATAGTTAGGTACAATACATAATCCTATTTGTTTAATCCCTGACATTGTCTTTTTTACTTTCAGTAAAGTACTGTTTTTTAAACCAAATGATTCCTAGTTGGGGGCGGGGGGGAAAATCAGCTCACTGAGCATCAGACATTTTAATTAAGTTTTCCAGTTCAGTGTAGGGGTACAGGGAACTGCAAGAAATCTGAGCCTGTCTCTTGTGGCTGCCAATAAAGGAGATGAGTGTATTGTCAATGGTTAAAGACTGCAACACTGAGGAAGCCAGAAAATCAGTTTCAATCCCTGTAACTCAAGCTATGCACAGGAAGAAAATAATTGCATTAAGATGCTACTTACATAAGTGAAATACGCAGTAGCAGAGAATTCTGCTACTAATTAGACTGAGCTAAAGATAACAGTGACAAAACACAGGGTTTGGGATGCAGGATTACATACGTATTTCTAGCCTCTGTAATTCAGAATTTGGTCCTTTATTCACTAATTGTTAACCCGTTCTTCATTTCTTGACCACTGACCCTGGACTTTCACTCCTGTACTGTTCTCTGCATTTCCAAAACTCTAGCTAGAAGTTCCTAATCTCCCTACGCACCCATACCTCATTATATTCCGTGTCCATTTTCACCTTGCTCCCAAATCTTGGTGTCTTATCCAATGGCCATCACAATCTGTTTTCTCATAGCCATATTTATTGCAGGCCTTTCCATACTAACATGCTCTACACCCTCCTGATGCCAACTTCCCCATCACCACTCCCTCTTTCCCCTGAAATCTGTGACTTCCTTGCTACTTGCTCTTGTCCTCTCCTCTTTCACAACTAGGCTTCTCATTTTTGTCCACACCTTGCTCTTTGATCTACATACAAATCCCCACTTCATGCTGTTAAACTTTTTTAGCTGAGGTCCTTCTATTTGAGTTAGACCTCAGAATACATGCAACAAGTAATTTTGCAACTGTAGCAAGTTTTCCAGTTTTCACCGAAGAAACAGAGTTCATACTACTGGTATGTAAAGCATTCCCCAGTATTTGGCAGCAAAAAACCCCAATATTATATGGCCATGTAATTCATTATGTGACATGATATAAATACCCTGTGAGTGAGTCAGAAGCCTTGCTTTGTTATGTCAGTAACAGCAGATAACTCCTGCCTAGTGCAAAGGCTTTGTTTTATTCCATGACATTTTCACATTAAGCAACTTCATCTGGATAAAATAATTACCTACAAACACCATTAACAACTTAATACAAAATTAAATACAAAAACAGGTCAGGAGCGATTCTAATAATTTAAGTTGTTCCAACCCAAAAGATCCCTCCTTAGGGTTCTAGCATACTTTGCACAACTTTCCCAATAGACCTGGTTAAATATATGACTCCAAAGTCCTGAAAGTCAACTATTTTGATATTGCCTAGACAAAGAACTAGGAGAGAAAATTAGAGAGTGCTCATGCATGTTACTTTCAGAGCACTTTTTTACCTTCTAATTTGTGCATGGGTTACAATAATTCAGCATTATGAACTTGTGTGCTATTCCACATATTACCAGAATATTAAAATGGCATATATGTTTTCTGAAAAGCATTTGTTTTCCATTTCAGCCCCTCAAAAAAAAAAAAAAAAAAAAAGAACAAACCATCTAATTATGTTATAACTCAATTTAAACAGATCAAAACAGCAGTAGGTCAGGGAAAAAAATGTTGGTTTCTCACTTTGTTCTGAAACAAAATCCTCCAGGAGTACCAAGTTAAAGTACAACTTTAGTATGGTATCTAATAAATCAAAACCTTTCCTCACCAGCCCCAGGACCTGCAGGGATTAGCACAGTTTACATTAGTGCTGCAAAAATATTTTAAATCCAAATAAAATTGCACTCCAGATATTAACCTTCATGATCGGGTGCTCACTGTAATAGTGCATTCTATTACTTTTACAGTCAATTTGTCCAGAATCTCTGGTTTTAAAATTAATTAAAAAAATAATGTAGTGTTTTGCAGTAAGCATATGCCAACTGGCTAATAGCTTAAGGAAGTTCAAGAAGTTCCATACTTTCATTCCATGATAGACACTGCAAATATTGTGTTTCACAGGCATAGAAACAATAAAGTATTACAAAGCACCTTCACTTCTTGGTAGTGCAGTATGTTAAGTTTCATTGAACTCTTGTTTTAGAATGTCTGAAATTCATTAGCAACTCTTCATGCCTAAGGACACCATTTTGCAGGCATTGCAAGCTTTCTAGGGCTAACTACATAGCAAAGCAGCTTCTATTTTGACAGAAAATTGTTTTAAAAACCAGAAAGTAATGTGTATTTCAGCAATATCATGTTCTCTCCTGCCTTCCCTAAACAAATGGTCATGAACCATTTTTGGAATATGTGTGTTCAACACTACTGTGCTTCACCACCACCCAGGTGTTGTCCCTAGTTCTATTATTTTCAGGCATACTCCTAGACTACAGTATTGCTGTCTGGCATTGCCCTTGAGTTGTGCGGTGCTGCAATCTTGTCACCTCTGGTCCTACTGAGTCTTTGTTGCTTGTGTATGCTCTCATAGAAGAGACAAGTTCCCAAACTGTTGTACATAAAGCACACTGAAGTAATATAAAGCAGCATTTTGGATAAGTTTCCCATGCTAGTGAACATTGATAGTGCTATGCACAGGTTTAGAAACTTGTTCATGTAAGCACAAGTGTATAGACATAAGCATCTAATAGTTGTTATATTGCAATCTGCCAGAAGCAAAGCCAGTCAAGTTACAGGCCAATATCCCAAGCTTAGAGGAATGCCAGTATACCTTGCACCAGTAATTTTTGGGGACTGAACACCATGGAGGGGTGGGGGGGGATATGAAGGGGAAAAGTACCAGGGTCAAAGAGAGTAGAGGTATGCTCTTTTTAAGGAGGCCTGGAGAGCTACAGTGTGTATGGATCAGTAGAACAGTTAGTAGTTGCAACTATAGGATCCTGAAAAAGACAAAGTAAAAATTGCCCTCATCCAAGCATCAAACTATTACTTTCTAAAGTCAACACCATCAACTAGATAGAAAATTTACCACACTCTTGGTTTAAAACAAACAAAAAAACCCCCACACCACATTCTTGCTTCCCCTTCCACCCCTTAAAACAGAAACCTTAATACTATAGGGAAGGGGGGTGGGAGGGAGAAGAGAAAGTCCTACTGATAAGCTAGGGAAGATGCCTCAAGATTTAAGTAGCAAGAGTTTTAACACAGTTAAAACTCTAACAGTTAAGCAACACAAAAACACAAGAAAAAATAACTACTTATGAATTGGTTACGCAGCATATATGAAAGACAAAAGAACAGTCTCAGTATATCATTTGCTTTTAAAAAGATCCAATGAAATAGTCATTACTTCAACTTTTTTTTTTTTTTTTTAAGGGAGCCTGTCCTTTGTAGGGAAGACTACTGAGCACTGGTGAGACCACATCCAAGTACTGTGTCCAGTCCTGGGCTCCTCAGTACAAGGGAGACACACTGACATACTGGAGAGAGTCCAAAGTCCAGTGAATCATCCACAAAGATGATTAAGGGACAAGGGCATGTTACATATGAGGAAAGGCTGAAAAAGCTGAGGCTGTTTAGGCTGGAAAAGAGAATGCTGAGGGAGGATCTCATCAATATATATAAATATCCAAATAGAGGGTGCAAAGGGGACGGAGCCAGGCTCTTTAAGGTGCCCAAGTGGCAGGACCAGAGGCAATGAATACAAACTGAAAGAAACACCAGAGGTTCTCTCAGAACATCAGGAAGCACTTTTTTACTGTGAGGGTGACCAAGCACTGGCACAGGTAGCTCAGGGAGGTTATGGAGTCTCCATCCTTGGAGACATTTGAAAGCCATTTGGACATGGTCCTGGGCAACTGGCATTAGGCAGCCCTGCTTGAGGAGTGGGGTTGGACAAGATGACCTCCAGAGGTCCCTTCCAACATCAACTGTTCTGTGATTCCGTGAAAAATTAATCATAGAGAAGAACAGCCGAAACAATGTCTCTTCATTCATTACTATATGTTACAAGCAACATATCATGTAAAATTGCTACCAAGTTGGTAGGAGTCTCTCATTACCAAGAGGGAGACAGATACAACAGTTTAAACAGTTTAAGGGAGTAACGCTGTAAAACAACTTTGCATTTTTCTTTATTTGCCAACATGGAAACAAGATTATTTGGGAAAACATTTCAAGAAATACAGAATACTGAAGAGAACATAATATTCTTCAGACAGTGTACAAAATGCACTCACGGAAGCACAGGGTAGAACTAAACCACACACAAAAACTGATTTCATCCAGAATCAGAGAGAGACAAATTTCTAAAGGGAAAATCTATTTCTAAAATCAACAGTGAAGCACTTTTTCTTCCAGTCTCACAGTTGGAGGGCTAGAAGAGAGATTTACAAAACATTAAGACAAGTCTGAGAATTTAAGTTCACAGACTCAGGAAAAACAATTGTTTTATATGATGTCTCAGTTTCCCCCACTACTAGCTAAAACAGCCATGGTCTGAAAGTGACAAGTGATTATTTGTCCTAATAACCTATCTTCTATCCCTCCTGATTCACAGGTACAAACATAGTCAACTTAAAGCAATTGCCCTCAACTGAAAATTGTTATTTCTATTTCAAACCTTAAGAAAGGTGGTTCTTCTTGAAAGTTTTCCTAGATTTTAGATCTATACTGATCAGTGTAGGTAAAAGGTATTAGCTTTCACCACAGACCATATGCCACTTGTCTTTATGTCATATAGCTACAATACAAAGTATTTTCAGAGGAATTCAAAGCATAGTTTGTTTTTTTTTTTTTTCCCTTTCATACCTGCTATTTGATCAATATTTATTGCACTGTTTGCTACCCTTATTCTTGGTGAAATTCAAGACTAATGAATTCTGAGACTTTTAAACTTTTCTGGAGTTCTCCAAAAAGCTTTGTGGTTTTTAATTTCTACTGCAGATACAGACAACAGTTAAATCACCAAATCCATTAAAATTGTCCAGGGTCCTAAAGAATGAGAATAGGTTTTTCTTGTTTGTGTTTTTTTTTTTTAATCCCGTTATCAATAGCCTGTTAGTACAGTTATTTTTTTTGCAGTAATTGCCTTTATCATCATCTTCTATTCTACAGGTGTTATATTAAAAATACAAAATTATTGTACTTAAATCAGAGACCTAGCAAGGGACATGCCTACAACTGTAATACTCTGCACCTCAGTTTGAAGTTTCAGTGCTGAACCAAATGAGAGCCATATTTTACTCTAACACTATAAACGTCAAAACAGACATCCAACTGAAGAAATTGAACTTCAGAGGGAGCACATGCAAATGCTAAAAGTTTTAATCCACATATGCAAGACAAGGTTTATACATACTGCAAATTTATCTTATTAGGACAACTAGCATAATCAGAAAACACGAATTAGGTTTTGAACACCTGGTCTTTCTTGAGATTTAAAGTAAAAGCAGTATATTTCAAAAGTAAATACGTTGAAAATAATTGCTTTATTTTTTTGTCAGATCATCTCTGAAAGAAAAGATACTTTTAGAGGGAAGGAATCTTTGCTGGAGGACAAAAAAGGAGAAAGTAGAATAAGCTAGTTATCTCTAGGGGACTGAAATTGCATATTGTACACTGTTAGGAAAGAAGTAGCAATGAACCATAAACATATCATCTTTATCGTGTCAGTAATTTTTGACATCCAACAGAATAACACATTTTAGTTCCCAGAGTTGGCTTTGGAAAAGTGTAGTTGTCCCTTGAGAATCACAACAAACATGACAAACATTGTCAAACTGTGATTGCCTCCACAGGTAGTTTTGCATTATTGTCCTTTATCAGTTCTCTGCGAGTTCATTTTGATGCACAACAATCTTCTAGTTTTACCTACACAGATATTATGAGGATGCTGGGATCCTGACTGGAATATATTACATTCTATGAAGTGCAAATGTAAAATCTTAGTATTCTAATACTTCTGCTGTAATGTTTATTACAGCAGGGGTGAATTGACCAGTTTTATACTTAATGTTTAGACAAGAGATACCCCCATTCTGCACATTTTAGACTACAAAGCGTTTTCTGGTGACGAATTCAGTTGGGTTAAAGAGTTATTCTGGAAATATTTCTTCCAAGATATAAGCTTCTTCCATTACAAGTGGTATTTTTTTAAATAATACAAGTTGCAACTAGGAGCACACAAACTGAAGTGGGTTTTCTGTTTGGAGCTTTTGTTGGTTTGGGGGGTTTGGTCTTGTTTGTGGTATGTTTGGTTTGTTTGTTTGTTTTTTTCTTAAAGTAAAGATTTATACTATGTGTTTAATTTACTATGCAACATCTGGGTAAGTCTTCCAACAATAGTAATGTTTTCATCAATAATAAAGCTTATTGACCTACAAAGATATCTTTAGATTATCGAAGTCACTATTGCAATTGTTCTCATTAGATGAGACACGTGCCAAGGACTGACTGTACACGTTGCAACAGTTTTTGGTATGTTTCAGATGATTGCTAATGCCCAACCTTCCAGCTGTGACAAGCCACAGTGCTTCTTATGGAGGCACTTAAGGGTTACATCTCCTAGTCCTCATTTGACAGACACTTCTTGTGCATATGCAAAGAAGGCTATATATTTCCCACTGGTACTGGGTGCACACTCACAACTTGTATGTATAGGTCTTCATCTGATGAGCCACAGGAAAAACAGCAGCCAAGAATGGACTGCTGCAAGCACAATTCATGCAGCCTATACCAAACTAATTTTATAGTTGTATTCTTCTCATGTCATTCCAAAGCATTTTCGGAGCACTCAAACAAGATGCATCTCAAATGCCATAGTTCTCCCACCCAGATCTACAGCACAGAATAAACATTTGATGGAAATAAACAGAAGTTACATGATCAGGAAAAATACGCTAGCATTTAACATTAAAGCTTAGAACTCAGATATACACTTAAAACACTTCCATCCTCCCATATGTCTTGCGGTTCTTTTTCCGATTCAACAGCGTGCTTAATCATATTAATTTTAGTGCCTTGCTGCATCTGACCCAAAACAACAATAAAGTGACCAAAAGGGCCATTTCAAGTAGGTGCCCAAGCAAAAAAATCCAGTAAGTGAACCAAGTTTGAGATGTACTCAGTACCAAGAACATACTGAAAGAATGCTAACCTGCTTATTGACTTCAGCCATTGACAGTTGTAACACCATCAGCATGCAGTCTGCTCCACATACAGTCGTCCTTTCAGAGTTTAAAAATAAAGGCCATTGTCTTCTGAAACACTTGATCAAGTCTAAAATTTTTTGCTGGAAAGCAATCATTGTCTAGAGAAGATAGAAATAATTAAGAGAAATCAGAATTAATATAACTATGCAAGAGGCCTATGTTCCTCTTTGCCTTCTAATAAGCTGTACAAATCCTGTTGTATCTTCTTGCAGATGAAGCTCCTAGAACAAATTCCTCCCACTAAACCAGAAGTCTAGTGGGACTCACCTCACTATGACAGAGCAACTATGAAGATAAGGGGTTAAAAGTGCTTACGTATAACGCCTTCATACAGACCCCTTACTTTCCTTGTGCATTATGCCAACATAAAAGAATAACATTATCACAAATATGACAGCCTTTCGTCTCTGAAAGCAGCCAGTCTGAATACCCCAGAGTGTCTTCTGCACTATCCACATTCACTATGCATTCAGACCAGTGTCTATCAGAATGTTTTAAACCTGGAAACCAGAGATTTAATATTTCTAAGACTTACAAATAAAGACATCTCTAAATGCTTTTGTTACCTATATAGCCTTTTTTTCATTCCATAAGTCATTATCTCCCCTATTTCCTTTGGCAATGAGTTTTAGTATCAGTTTTGAACTTGACTACTTCATGTTTTGGTCTTTTTCACCTTCTCGCATTTGTCAAGACACAGGTACAGGACACTGTTTAAAAAAATTTGCCTTCTTTAGACTTGTTCTTTCCCAAAACACAGTTCCCTAACACTGCAGTAACAGTACAGGAGCAATACCTATACCATTTACTTTCAGAACACAAACCCCAACCTTTCCCCTTATTTCACCTAGCTAAGGCACAGTCCACAAGTTTTTTTGGCATTTGGCACGGTCAGGAAAAATGAAGGAGCGTGGGAGTGGGGCAGGGAAAATAGGAGGCATCAGGTAACAAGCCAGACTGTAACAGCAACTGCAATTACTTACTCCCCAAAGTGTTTGAAGGGGACAACCTACTTTGTTATTATTTTACGTTGACACAACGAAACATGCGGGCCATAGAGGATGAAACAGGTGGGCAGGTGCAAGTTAGCGCGGGGCAGACAAAATCTCTCCTCTGTCCCTCCACTCTGAGAGGTTTCTAAGGCACAAGACCCGTCGCTCGGGGCGAGCGCCCAGCGAAACAGCCAGAA